GCAAATATTAATATTGTTATTATTATTACTATAAAAGGTCCATCGAAAGAAAAACAACGCCACGATATTATTTGTATGGTGATAGCGTTCGTGTGTGCATGCCGTATAATATATACCTCTAGTCGATCAATCAGCAGTGGCGGATATAAACCGCAATTAACATGGCGCGGGATTTATACATTATCGCTATTATATTATTATTATGTTTCTTCCATATTATTTTTCACGGTCTAATCAATATCGTTGAGCGTTTTTTATACAGTATAATATAACATTATAGTATAATATAACATTATAGTATAATATAACGAGGTTCAATCGTTGGCCGTGTGGTACGCTCTGCGATGGGCGTGTATAATCGATTTGTCGGCGGCGACCACTATACATAAATATATTATATTATATTATGTTGTAATGTAAGTTGTAACTACCCGCATTCGGCGATGAATCTCAAGTAGATTTTGTTCCAGCGCGCAAGGTCATGTTTTTTCTGTAATATTATTATATATTTTATTCGATTACCGAATAACATTTCGGTAATAATAACAACAATTAAATATAACATGTTACATCCCACTTCGCCAAAAGCTGAACACACATACAAACACCAATACCATCCGTTCTGCAGCATAATATTATGGACCGATGCAGTGGGGTGCCCTATCGTTTTAAGTTACACCTACCGCAAAAATGTATACATTTTACATACGAGACTGCTACCGAAGTAATAATTTGTTTTTATTTTCGTCGTCCTCGATTCCGAAGACTAATTTGTCGCGACGGCTTGGTATAGTATATGGTATAGTAGTATATATTTTTCAGTGTTACCAATATTATAAGTATAGGATAAATTAAACTTTTATTTTTTTTCTTAACATTTTTCATTTGGTATCAAACTACAACGGACTTCCAATTATTGACAAAATGATTCACAATACTAAACAGTACATACGTTAATATGAATGATTGCACATGAATACGAATGAGACTTCAGACTACAGCTGTCAATTGGGTTTTTCTATGACGTTATTGGAGTATTCTGATATTTTTGTTTCTTCAGGACGATTTATGTTATTCCGTTAATTGCTTCTGCGGGATTGAAATTGTATGTTATACAGAAAATCGTTTTGTCAACAACACAAAAGATTCCACCAAAGAGGATTTAATTTCACTGTATACCTGTGTATTTCTTCCGTCGGTTTTCCAATTATACGCAATGGTTAGGCAGGCGAATCGCGGAGGCAGACCGGCGATCGTAGAACTTATAAAGTTTAAGGATTTAACTTCCCCCATGCTAAGCAATAGCGTATTCGCGTTAAACGCTTTGGAAAACTTCAACGGCCGATAGAACCTTAATGAATTTGCGGTTAGCTATACGAGCGCCCCGTCGTGACCACGGTGATAATAACACCGGCAAGTTTTTCTGGTAAAAGATTAGATCCGACATAGAAGCATTTTATCAAGGGTGCTAAACCCCAACAACATAAGCTCCCGGAAGTTCCACTATACTCTATTTCCAAATATATTAATCTAAATATTCAATATTACTGATTTACCCCATATTTAGGGTAAATTACATTAATAATATATATCTCTCACTGCAATGTGCACACTGCTTGGTGACGAGGAGATGTGTTTAATGATACATTTATTTGTTCAACAAACGTAGAGTTAGGTAGGTTAATATTGTAACAAATGGGTTTACCGTCTTAACTACCCTCGGTACGAATGTTCGACAGCACGCTTGGATATAATCGAGTACAGGAGAGGTAACGACTGTTATTGCCTACTACCAAACTGAATATAATTGATATACACGTACTATGGTGTGTATATGCGATGGATGTGAACCGTCGATTTGTGTGGTCTGTTTAGTCTTTACATTTATGGCGTGTCGTCTTTGCGTGTCTTTCAAAACGGCCCGTTTAATTAAGTGTGACCGAATGTCCGTCTGCCGCAGAAAAAGCGATTAAAAACTGCGCGAGTTGTGAAAAGCGCATCCGCCTGGGCACTTAAAACTTTATTGCTCTTACACGTCTTCGATGATACGGCTACCACTCGGGTGGTGATCATTATACTATCTGTGAAAACGCACCACACATTGACGCAACAAAACAGTGTATTAAATTAAACTGCAGTGCCTAGTGGGAAAGCGGGGAAACTTTGGGGAGCTAAATACTAGAAATTATATGGGAATCGTTTAATAAAAATTAAAGCTGACTCTCGTAGTACAAATTGTATCATTTGAAATCATACCCCCAAAAAAAAAGAAAATTGTTGACAATCTTAAATCTAAACCATAAGCCGACGATAAAAAATCATACAACTAATAGTTCCCATAACGAGTTCCAGACTACTCTGATGATAACTCAGCAAAAATTTGGAAAAAATTGAAATAATTTCCTGGAAAATTCAACGACTTCACAATGAATTCAAGAAAAATTCTAGATATCATAATAATACAAGATTCCAGGTAATCTAAATAATATCAATCATTTTCTAACACTAACTTATGAATGCAGTAATTTCAAAAAGTCATCATCGTTTCCCGTTATAAGTTATCCGTCCAATTATGGATACATAAAAAAATATATCAATTAATCAATTTTCTGCTAAAACAATTGTGTTTTCTATAATATGTATACGACGTACTTTCGTTTTGTTTTATTCTTGTCGTTACGCGTTAAACGGAAACAAAACAAATTATTGATGATCATATTGTCTATAACCAGTTACCACGGTTCTTTTCATTCGTTCGTTGTTTTCCGACAGCACAGCAGCTGCGTATACTCTCCGACGCATGTCTATCCGAATAATTACACCTAATACATATACGGACTCTGTTCCTTGTTACGATTGTTTTCTTATATCACTCCACGTGATACACACCGTGTGTATGATTATCTCGGCTATGTGTGAAAACTGTCGGGCGCATACGGCAGGTGCGAGCCGGAAAATACCATTATTTATAACACAAAATAGTACTTGAAAACACGGAACAAAAAAAAAAAAGATGATGATGACAAGCGATTGAAATTTGTCTCAGTCGTGTGAAGATGATGCGCGTCCGAAGTTCCCATGCCGATGACTTGTCAGCTGTGCTCGCCACCGAGATATATATGTGTATAATATACTTATATATATACAGTATTGTCCAAAAGTAAAGGTAAACATTAATTTCGCCTTTTAATCTCATTATCGTCGTGCTTTGTTTGTGTCATTGTGTAGCTCACATGGCGATTCAACAGGTGTATGTCCGCGCAACAGTTTCGTTTTCGTTCGGTACACAACATATGATAACCCATTCTTACTTTACATGATATTATAATATTGTTATAGAAATATAATAATAATAACAAAACAAAAATCAAACAATAAAGGGTCTTAGAAAATGTCGCGTCGTTTCTACTTGATGTCTTTTCACTTTTTGTGTCCACTACACACTGTTGCGGGGGAGTCATTGAACCCGAAAGGGAAATTCTAGGGAATCGTTTTTTCCTACCTACCCGGAAACAAAAAATACAACAATAATGTTTCAACCACGGGAGTACAGCATCTGCCACCGTTCGGGTTATGAGTACCTCCTACGGCCTATGTCCCTTATAGGCGTACAATACCTATATTATTACAACATAATATATTGATACAATAAACGCGTTCATAACGACATACACATCATTGTCTTTTAAACGAACACGTTTCCAAGTCTTTTTGTCTACGGAACAAAAACGTCCATGCCCCGTGAGTATATATATTTTTGTTTTGCGTTTAAAACAAAAATAATGATTTATTTAAACACAAATTGTAAATAAACTACTGGGTAGTTTAACGTTTTTTTCTAAAAAAAATGAGTTTTAAATAAACTGAACTTTTTTAATAAATTTTAAATTAAATTAAAATTTATTAATTCGCCTGCATTGAAATCGGTCTTGTGATTATTGCAAGAAATTCTTTCAACTCAAACTGTTAATATGTTCGCTATAGAAATTTAACATTATCTTTAGAAATTGACTATTATTATTGATATTCCGTATTATAATAGAGAAATATATTTGTGTGGTCTGCCCTTATTACCTTAATAAATGGTTCCATCTGTTTCTCTGTTTATAATGGTTTATAACGGATGCAATACGGTTTGATGTGGTTAGGTTTAAACAAGACTCATGAAATTCCGGTTAAACGTTAATCGATTATTGCGGAAGTCGAAGGGAGCTTAACGCAGATTATCTATAAATAGAATAAACCGGATTTTATACTTTTCACGTTTACTTGCTCATATCAGCCTGTATGTATAAATCGACCAAATGTAACAGTCTGTCCCTGTAATATTAGGATATAGAAATACACCTAAAAATAATACTCTAATAAATTGGCTAAAACAGGAAACGAAGAGAAGAATGGAAGCCATTAAAGAATCATTTTTAGAAGTATATTATTTTTCTCTTATTATGAAAATTAACCGTATGTCACATAAATGTGTCTTTCCACGCCAAAAGCATTATTATATTACGTGTTGGACTACTGTTCGTCTCCATTTAAATCACATTATTAAACTTTATGATGGCTTTCTTAGTGTCAAAATGATTTGTAATTAATGAAAATAATGTTTTTTTTAAATTATAAAAAAATAATACCATCCACGTTAAACAACACTCAAATGTAGTGCACGTGAAAATGAATAATATTATAGAAAATAACTAATTCGGTTGTCACTCGGCATTCAAGGTTAAGCTGTGTCCGTTGCTGCACTAACCAGTAACCCAAACCAACCAAAAATCGATAGACCCGAGTTGCCAAAGCTTCAAAAAACACATAATAAAAAACCTAATGATATTGATAATAACCATTCGTTGAAGCTAAGATATAAAACTACCACCAGTATATATACATTTTTTTTTAGCAAACAAACTTAAATCAGTTACATAATTATTGGTAATAACGGTGGGGTTATATTTTGTAGATTTTTTAAGTAGATAATTCTTAATTGTAATTGAACTAACCTGTCGGAACTGTTCCTCGAACGTCCACGATTGGGCTTCGTTGTTTCGACCCAAGGACGGCGAATGGACGTCCGCTGGATGACCGGATCCTGGAGTGTCGCCCGAATGACTGGACTTAGGGGATAAGTCGGCGACCATAGGTAGTCTGTGCGAGGTAGAAAGGGAAATAGCACCGGAAGTTGGACCACTGGAAGAAGGTGTCTGTGGCTGATGTGACTGTAGGGATGATGGTACGGACAGGCCCGGGTGCTGGTAGACCAAATGTTGAAGCATAGGTGCCATCAACCTAGATCCCGACGCTAACTGCCTGGCCAATTGATTGAGGGTTTCACGTTCTTCGCGCTGATAGAAATAAAATCGAAAATATACCGTTGTTGAATTCGCTAGTGTACATATTAAAAGTAAAATTCTACAACACTGTAATTGGTCGGATACAAAATAATCTTTATGATTCCCCGGTAAGTCTCCACGGGATAGGATTATCAAATAAGACATAATAAAGGGTCACGGCGGTCAACGTAAATTCAATCCATCACATGTGTTACTATTCATAAAAATAATTACAACTCACTTTTATACGATGATCTACTTTTACTCTCGCTTCTGTGGTAAACGCACGGATATAAGTTTCATATTTTGAAATAAAAGTATATGTTCTTTCAAAATTTCCTAGCTAACATAATATTTACCTAAACCCGTATCACTCTCTCTCTCCCTTCCAATTCGAATTTTTGGTTGTATTTCCATTTATAACATTTTAAATTCCAGTAACAACGACTTGGTAGGAAATTGTTGGCGGTACAATTTATGATCATACTTATATGATAGGTTGTTTATATAAAAATCAATTTACCTGCATCTCGAGTATGTCTTGTTCTTCTTCGGGTGTACAGTCTTCGTCTTGTCTACAGTCATCATCGTCGTCCATCATGGCGTCCCGATCGTCCTCTTCGTCTGTGCCCCCGCCGTTGGATCTCGTGGGTGAACCGTCCACGACCGTCGAGTGTGGCCAGTGGTAAGCGTGCGGTTGTACGCTTAAGTTCAGGTTAAGTCCCAATCTTCGGGGGCTTCCGGCATCGGTGGCCATTTTTACTTGATCCGTACGGTTGTCTATGTCTGAAGACGGATCGCTATTGAGCTGTAAACGGTAAAATAAAAAAAAGCCTTGAGAAAACAGCTAAGGTTTAACATTTTATTTTTTTCGTTACCCATTTGCGGTTTAATGAAACCGTACACCATGCACGGAAATGCAGTTAGGAGCCTAACAATTTGATTTACTAGGAGATACTCGATTTAGTATTGGTCTCGGCAACATGATCCTAACACTAAAATGTGTTTTAATGCGCAGTGGTTGTTCGATAAACGGATCTTTTTAGTTTGTTCTTACGACCTTGGAATTAGTTTTTAATAAAACCCTTCAATCCAGAAAAAACACTATTGTGCACTCATAACGGTTTGCCTAAGCATTTAGGTGACCGTGATAACGCGCCCTGTCAGCCGTTGGGTTCATGTAGGGCCCCATTGTCAAGAAGGTCCGGTATTAGTCGTCCAAGGACATCATAATAATATTGTATAAAGGTGTATATTATTATTTTGAACGATTTAGAAACTCACACGTCTAGATTGGACGTAAAGATTTCGACCGATTTGGTCGAGACTCGATTTTGAAACTCGAAAAGGTGACAAACGATGACCCAAAGATATATTTTGTACCGTATAATTTATTCTGAGATGCGATCGCGTCGATCAGAAATACTAACGTTATTATGCTCAAGAACTTGTCTGCGAGTAGGCGTATCATACTATACAATATAGCACATTTCAATTACTATATAAAATCATGCAACACCAATAAATATCCGACTAGATAAAGGATAAACTTTGTAAGTAGGTAAATAAAATACCAAAAACGCCTTAAGCGCTCTACGGCTTTACATGAAGAACTTATAAACACTATCAAGCTGGTTAATTAAAAAACAATCACTTATATTTTCTGAAACAAAATGTTGTAACCCACTATTAACTATTATAATAGTTATTTTTTTTTTATAATTGTCACTGTTTCACTCGATTAGAAAGGGGACTTTTTTAATTTTTGGCCCAATTAAGTACTTTTCAGGTACGATAGTATCTAATCTATATAGACTTGCTACAAGAAGAAAATATCGACTCTCCTACAAATATTGCTAATTTACAGTGTTGTATAAAAACTGGAAACAACAGGTATTATTATAGTTTTTAATCTAGATCATATTTTGCGATTTTAATTTCTCAGACTACAATCATAATATTTTGTGCTGCTTTACATCAAGTTTTATCGTTAAAAAATGCCTATACTTCTTATACTGGTTATAAATATAATTATCCATCGATTTGGACTGGCAACGAGTACATAGATGAGTTGAGAGTTTTCCAAACGATGGACCACACGTAGTATAAATCATTTGAACGATATTAATTGATGTTGTATATTTTTGTCGCGTCCCGGCGTCGTCGTTGTAATAAATTGCTTATGACATTCGGTTGACGATAATATGACGATTTCTAAGTGAATTAATAATAATATAATGCGCTGCTGCTGCTCTTCAACGGCGGCGACAGACACACACCATTTCTATGAGGCGATATAGAAAAATAACACGTGTTTCATTAAAACTACATTAGTCCACTTGGCGGACGGCCACGCGTCGTCTTCTTAGTAATTTTTCCATGTTTCATATTTTTTTTTTTTTTGCGCCACCGTCTATACTACAACAAAACGGACGTTTTACTGGTGCACAGTAATAAATATTATACATTATATAATTTTGTTATTGCGGGACTTGCACGGAAGTACTGTGGTGGCAGGGCGAAACGACTTCAGTTATTAATGAAATGCCGCTATCGTTATATGGCCTATAATATAGGTATATATTTACTATGATATTGTGCGACTAGGTCGTCTGCGGAGACACGTTAAAAATTCATCGCTCGACACACATTTAATCGTATATGTGTACATGTGTATAGTTAATTCCACATTGTTCCTATAGCGATTCGTATTACAACCCCCTTATATTTGATATCGATTCAGTCCACGGTTCTTTTTGTCCTCCGATGCATTATGCACTTATGCATATCGTATTAGATAGAAGTATAACAACAGTTCGACAATTGATTTCTACGTCAGTGCTGGCAGGACACTGGTGACTGGTGTGTTGAATTATTTCTGCGATCGAAAACCTAGAGCCCTCTACACGATATACCCCATGACCTATTGTACAAGTATAATCGTTTTCTGATCGTTGTCGCTGTTTAACGATCATTCGGTCGTTTTGTTTTAACCGGTCAGCCCGAAATATTGCTTAGCCATTTGCAAGTTGAAAAGTTACAATACTGTATTCAGTATAAACATACACACACAGCAATGATAATAAGAAACATGTTAATGTTTTGTTAAGGTCTGGTGGAAAATAGTATAACTGTTATTATCGGTTTGCTGTAATAAAAATAATTCGTGTACCTATATAAATATTAAATTTGTAATATATTTAAAAACTAATAACGAACATTATGGTTATTTAATACTTGATAGTTCGCCAAAAACATGACGTTAACAATTTTCGACAATGTAAAAATTATTATAGTTGCTTAATCGAGAAGTATAATTTTTACGATTTGTTGAAAATAATATAATTACTGTGCGGGATATCAATTAAACCGAAACGACAATTATTTGTAATCGCTATAGCCTGGAATATCTACTCTACTGCTAACGCATAAGGTCATTAAATATTATCATGATATACATTAGAGCATCATAGCAACGCGACTAGTATTTTGGCTAATATTGTAACGACATTTTCGGGGAATGCACCATTAATTGACGTTAGTCTGTTTTATTGCTATTTATGTGACCGTGATTATGATTGCTAAATACCTTTATAGATATGTTCACTTGGGTATAATAATGGAATTTATTACAAAGACACTAAGATGACACCACACATTAAATAATCAACTCGTTCGATAAACGATTGTCGCTAAAATAATATCAAAAGCCTACATTAAGAACACAACTCTAATTTAAATTTTCTATAATATAACTATGTATTTTTTTCCGTAAATCTCCTCGAAACACCATTCTTATTATTAGGCTTTTGTTGTTATTTTATTTTAATTTAATATTATAGTAAAAAGAGAAATGCCTTTTTTAACATAAGTTTATTCATGTTTGTATGTACAGTTTAATATAAACAAAATAAGTGTGTCGATTTCATTTTACATAATAGATATTAAGTGCTGTTTGAAATAGGATAACTTCAGATCAGCGGGACATTAAAAATCTTCAAAGGGCCGTGTAGATAGATTGAATCAGTTGACGACTGTAGCACAGCGATGCGACGACCGGTAATCGGATTTAGCGGATGAAGCCAAATGCATATGTTTCACATCCGGACTCTTGATAATAATTTGTTTGAAATAATCATTTTGTTAGGCTGTTATGCTTGTTGGTCTAGTATTTCAATGATTTTAGTAGATTTTTTTATAGTTTGGTAGTACAAAAATCCCAGAAGATTGGAAAACAGCTTTAATTGTACCCATACATAAAACAGGTGATACCTAACTCTGTGACAATTATAGAGTATTGCTTTGGTAAACGTAGCATACAAAGTTCATGCGAGTTGTCTTTTAAACAGAATTACACCATGAGTGGATACTGGATAGTCTGTTAGGATACTACCAAACTGGTTATAGACGGAATAGATCCACAGTTGATCAAAATGTATTAATTGTAAGACAAGCTTTCAAAGAATTTAAGAATATAACAAGAAAGTTTTGTTTGTTTGCAGATGTTGTTAGAATAAAATGAAAAAGTCTAAACGATGGAGCCGAGAAACTTATAGCTACAGTAAAGATAGTTGCATCAGAAATAAATAAAGAGAAGACAGTGTTTATGATGTTACAAAGAAACCCTATACCGGAAAATCAACATTATTCACTTAGAAGGGATAACGAATTCAATTACCTAGGCTCACTCTTTACACATAAAAATGAAATAATAACCGAGATTAACGCGAGATTGCAAGCTGGCAACAGGTGTTTTTTCGGTTTAAAAAAGTTTAAGGGTCAATGACAGTATCGAAAATTTTTAACCTAACCGAACTATAATCAGATCCTTTGTGTGGCTGCGAGGTTTGGACTTTTGGATCAAGAAAATAAAGAACTTAAACAAACGTACTAAAAACCAAACGTTGTACAAGAAGTAAAAAATAATCAACTACAACGGGCAGGACACTAGTGGAGGGAAGCTGGTTCTTTGGTAAAGCTTGTACGATATAATGACCCTTTAGGGAAAAGACCATTAGGCGCCTACGGGCAAGATGGGAAGATCGGATTAGAAATTAAGCAAGGAGATGAGATCCAGATTGGAGGGACATAACTCTATCTGATAGAGAGAGGTGGAACGAGCTTTGTTTGCCAGCGTGGTGTTCATGTCCGTAGACTAGAAGAAGAAGTACAAAAAGCTAATAGTGTAATGATGTATTATAATGTTATACTATTCAGTAACTTATGGGTACATTTTTTAAATTTGTTTTTATTTTCTTCCTTGATTTTTTTAGCAGTATGCTAGAACTGAAAGGACTTTGTAGATTAGGCATGCGTTGAAGATACAAAAAAACCGTGTAAGAAGTAAGTAAACATTTTTGTTTAAACAATGCCTGACAGTTGAGGCTACATAGTATATTAAACGTGGCCTGAAAATTATAATATGCTGCGTCTACAAAACCTGTGAGCAAAGGATTTCAAGCTTCACCAGGGCATTCCATTGGGTTTCAATACGTTTGGTATATTATATAGAGTCGGGCACCGCTCGTCACCGTGATGCCGCTTTCAATAGTTATCCTCGATATTAGCAAATAGTTTTCTGGTCTGGAAATTGATGATGAACCGATAGCTTCCAATATTACACACACTGGCAATATTGGAATGTCGAGAAGAGAAGTTACACATATCGGCGGCGGCAGGGGCAAACAAAGTAAAAGGGAGGAGGGCAAAAACAAACATTCATCATTGGGTCGTCACTAATCTTGTTTACTCGCGTTTATATAGTATTTATGTTAAGGGCGCTAGGAGTAAAGGGGTGAAGGAGAGAGA